AGTCTGGTAGATTTATAGGACATAAAACTAGTAGATCTATTGATAGTGCTGTGCACTGTGCTATCAGCTACCTATCTGTTATGTGACTCTTCAATGTTTAGAAGATCTGCATTCCTGAAGGGTTTTGTATATTGAAGCCAGTTAATTGGTCAATATTTAACTCATTACCTTGCTCCATACAAACTTTACAAAGCTAATGAATAGACTTACCAATAATTGTTTACCCAAAAATCCCTAAGTGGTAAACACCACCTTGGCCTGTTGGCCATTATTGAAGGCAATAAGTGCTCTTTTTAGCCATCCATTATGATCCATATACTGTTATTGTTAGTAGGCTAACAGCAACATAAAAAAATAACACTTCAAATAGACAAAAAAGTTGAAAAAATCAAAAAAATCATATAAATCAAAAAAATCATGAAAAAATCAAATAAATCATTGATTTTTTATTTTTTTGATTTTTTTTAAAAAATCAAAAAAATCGCCAACCCTGGAAAGATACCATCTGGATGTGCTCGGGATCAGCGAGTGCAGGTGGGCAGGAGCAGGCAGGACGAGGTTGGCTACAGGACAGACGTTGATATACAGCGGAGATGATGAACTACATGAGGGAGGCGTTGCTATATTGATAAGTCAACAGGCAGAGAAGTCGCTCATGGAATGGACACCTAACAACAAGAGGATAATAACAGCAAGATTCTACTCGAGATACAGAAGAGTGACTATAATTCAAGTGTATGCCCCTCACAATGAGAGGTAGGAAGAGGAGAAAGAACAGTTCTACCAAGAATTACAAGAAACATTAGATGGATGCAACAGGAATGACATCACCATCATCATGGGAGACCTTAATGCTAAAGTAGGAACTGATAAAAGCGGGTACGAGAGGACTATGGGCGTGCATGGGCTGGGGATGCAGAATGATAATGGAGAAAGGTTATGCAAGTTTTGCCAGCTGAATGGACTTGTGATAACAGGTACATTATTCCCATACAAGAACGTCCACAAAGCAACATGGGTATCTGCTGATGGAAGAGTAAAGAATCAGATCGACCACCTCCTGATCAACGGTAGGTGGAGATCATCTGTCCTGGACACGCGGGCACAGAGAGGAGCTGGTATCAATAGCGACCACTACTTGGTGAGGACACGCATCATACTGCGCCTCAGTACCCACAGAAACAACAATCAGGTAAAGCCGAGGTTAGATGTGGAACGACTGAGAAATGACGAGATGAGAAAGAAGTACTGCAGGGCAGTAATAAACAAGCTGGACACCACAAGGAATGATAGTGATAACATAGAGGAGATATGGGAGCAGCAGAGAAATGCCTATACAAAAGTGGCAGAAGAGGTTCTTTGGTACAAGAAAAGGGTGAACAAACCATGGATCAGCAACGATACCTGGAGGCTGATCGACGAGAGGAAAAGTGCCAAGATACGTGTTGAAAGCGCCCTATCAGAAAGAATTAAAAACAGAATGAGAGAAGAGTACAGAGAAAAGGACAGGGAAGTGAAGAGGAGTGTAAGAGAAGACAAAATAATGTGGATGTCGGAAGAAGTGGCAAGAGCACAGAACGCAGCAGAAAGCGGAAGACAAAAAGAATTGTACAGTATTGTGAAGTGGCTGACAGGGCAGAGTACCAACACCAGGCAAACTGCAGCAGTGAAGAGTGTGAACGGGGAGCTGCTGAAGAGCAAAGAGGCCAGAATGGCGAGATGGAAGGAACATTTTCAGGAAGTTCTCGACAGAGAAGCACCAGAGGAACCACCAGAGGAAGTGGGAGAGCAAGCACAGGAGCTCGATATCTCAGTTGAGGCACCAGATGTGGCGGAAATAAGGGCCACACTGAAGACCCTCAGGAATGGAGGTGCCCCTGGGGCAGACAAAATTTCAGTCGAAATGCTTAAAGCAGATATCGAACGGACCAGCTTAGAGATGAAGCAGATATTTGTCCTGATTTGGGACCAAGAGACGGTGCCGACACAGTGGACCAAGGGTTTCATTTGCAAAATCCCAAAACGAAGGAACCTTCAGGACTGTGGAAACTGGAGGGGAGTTACATTGTTGCCTCTGGCCAGCAAAGTGCTCAGCATGATCCTCATCAACAGGATACAAGGTGGAGTGGATACATTGCTCAGGAAGGAACAAGCAGGCTTCAGGAGGGGAAGAGGAACTGTTGACCAGATATTCATTCTCAGAAACATCCTAGAGCAAGTCAACAAATGGAACGCTACATTGTACGTCCACTTCATTGATTTTGAGAAGGCATTTGATTCAATACACCGAGACAGCCTTTGGGCCATCATGCGCCAATATGGAATACCTCAGAAGCTGATCCGGCTAGTCAGGACTCTCTACGAGGACTTTCAGTGCTCTGTAATTGATGAGAACGAAACAACAAAGGGGTTTCCAGTAATGACAGGAGTGAAACAGGGGTGTGGTGTTGCATGTCAGGATTTTTGTTCCTCCTTGTGATCGACTGTGTAATGCGCAGGACTGTGGAAGGTGAAAGAACTGGGCTTTAGTGCATCATCGGTCATCACAAAATTGTGCATAGAATGTCATATATAGAATTGTGCACCAGGCATCATAGAATGAAAAGTAATTGACCTGAACTATGATTTATTTCTCCAAAAGATATGATGGTTGTCATAAAACATTCCTTTCTGTTTCAGGTATGTTCTTCACAATCTTTTTTATAGTAAATTCACTTAACCCAATTAAAATGGTGTGAAATTACAAGCCATCCTAAAAGCTTACAGATACAGAAAAAATGCTATAAGGCTGCTAATATGAAGCTTGCAGTGGACAAGGTTGTTGTAAATGCTCAATGGCATGTTCATGGATATGGTAATATAGCATCAATAATACATACGGTGATTAATGTATAACGTAATATCATATCGATAAATGAAAAAGAAGTAAAAATCACAGAAAATGTAAGTTATTCTACATCTACATCATCTACAATGAAGGAGGAGGGCTTCAGAGTACTGTTAGTAATGGATGAGTGCACTATGCATGCTTCAAATGTTTTAAAATGAAGTTTTATTCCAAGTGTCCCGAGTAGCCCCGTTCGACGCTAGTAAATGTAGGATTTCTTAATTTTTTTTATGCTAGTAAAAATGTTGAACTTTACACCTCTATTTTTAGTTTTGCAATATTTTGATTAGTTTAGCTGCTACAACGTTTCTGACAAATGTAGGATAACTGTCCCAATTTACCCCGCCCATCCCTTATTATCCCATTTGACAGTAAGTGTGCTGTGGATGGCTTGGTAAAGTAGCATTGATCAGATCATAATCTCAAAATACTAAATTCTCTTATATTTACTATAGAATTGCACTATGAAGTAAGAATGAAACCTAGCAGATACTGCACTTACTACCTTACCACTTGTCAATAAAAATCATAATACTGGTCTCAGAGGTCAGAACTCAGTAGTTTGTGGTGTGTGTGTGTGTAGTGTTTAATAACCATATGATCACTATGAACCTGTTTTGATCATGCTGTTAAGATGGGGTTTAGTTTAATTGAAAAATAAGACCATTTCCATTGAAGGCTGGCAACTTGTGCTGTGGTGAATTTACTGGAATAAATAAATATTGACATTAGTTGACTTTCTAATTGATAAATTTATTAGATCAAAATTTGAGAGGACTAAAAAGAAATTGTTTTGTTGATTACGTGTTACAGGCACTTGTTTTTATTGTTGGAAAAAAAAGTAATTTTTTTAATCCAAGTTATAAATTCCCAATGTTTTCTCGTTCTTTCAATTGCATACGAAAGGTTTTGCCCATTAGACATGGACAAATTTTCCATGCTCACCTATCTCCTGGTAAGTCTGGTAGTTGAACTATTTTAAACCTTGCCTAATTTCTTTCATAGAAAATACAAAAAATGGCACACTTGCCTAGAATCTGTGAAAAGTGCCTGTAATAGTATTGTTTTTAATTAAGATTTTTGGAAAGTTTTGTCTGATACTCAAGATTGTGCAATAATTAGTTCACGAGTGGTACTGGGTAATAACAACCAACCAAATTTTCTGTTCAAGCATTTAAAAATATACACCTACATTACTGATTGATGGGCCTGTGAGACTGTTATGTTACTTTGAGTTCATTTCTTGTTAAAGTTATTGTGAAACTTGAAATTTTTGTTTTCTGTGACTATATTCAAATGCTCTTATATATCAGCAATGTTTTCAAAAAATTATGTCAGTAGCATTCTGTTATTCTGAGATTTATAAATTTTATTGGTTTTCAGGGAGTTTTCTTCAAGCCAGGGATTATCTTCCCCAAACTTATATGTGTGAAGATGCATGGAATCAACGGTTGAATGAAGATCTGGTTAAAAAACTTGATAAACCAGGTAATATAGATTAACTTTACATAATTCTTTTTTCTGATTCTGCCATCTTTTCTGAATACAGTGGAACCCTACCTTATGAATGTCCTCTCCTACATTGAAACCACCTTACATACTGTCTAGTGTACTCTGCTGTTCAACCGTTCTTTAGTACGGCTCTTACATTGAGAATTATCCTGGGCACGGCAAAAAAGCAGTGGAGAGGCCATAAAGTGTTAATTGGTATCTATTAGTAAATTAAGCGTCAAGAAACGTGCAACTAGCATATAGATTGTTGGCTTGGCCAAGAAGTACGATCAAAATGAAGTGTACAATCTCTGCTATCTTGGGTCTTAAAAATGCCACAATTAGACTCCTACAAATTTCCATAATTTTTCATCAACCCATTGTTTTTACAACATACCTTTATACGGTATTATATGCATATGCAAAAGAGAGGTGACTTTTGAGATGCCTGACATGGATTGGAGTCTTTTTTTATTATTTTTAATGGAAAAATTACATTTGCGTTAGGAAAAATCTGCAACACAAATGGAGTTCTTACATGAATTAGCTTTGTGAGGTAGGTGGAGTTCTACTGCACTGTATTTTCTTGAGATAAATTATGTTATAAATGTTTCAATTTGATTGTATTACTTGTGAATATATCATGTTCAAGACCAATCAGTTTAATCAATAGGTACATAGGTATGAGTTTATGTACTCTTTATTTTTATGCTTGCAATATGTCTTTCATGTTTAGACAATGAAACTTGCCTGAAGAATTTCTATTGTTATTTTTGGTTAGAAGTGATGTATAATTATATACCTACAGTATATAGTTTGATGTCAGTCCTCCAAAAGTATGGTACACTTTCCATGTCTTAAAATAACAAGTTTTAGGTAGGTAATACCGGCATGCACTCTTTATTTTACAGAAAACTGTTAGTTTGATAGATGTTGGAAAATTATTGTATACGGTAATTTTCTGTGCTTCCCTTGCTATTTTTTTCTTGCTTTGCAGGGGAATTTTATGTGACAATCTCCCAAAAAATGAGAACAGAAATGAAAATTTGGCCCCTTGATGTTGATTTGGTGAGTAGCTAGCTTTTATTCTCTCCTTGCTTCATGTAATGAGTTAGACCTGCCATTCAATCTTCAGTATCATTTATAAATAATCATAAATGTGCTTCATCTTCAAGAAAGAGAGATTTTTGTGTTTCAGATATTTGAATTAACAAGCATTCAAGACATGTAGTATTTATTGGCACAACAATTAAGAAATGGTTCTTGTGCTTCAAGCTGTAGTTTATAGCATTGGTGTCTCTAGTATTTGCCTCCTGTCTCTACAAACTGTAGCTGTACAACGATATTTTTCTGACCAAACTATGCATTAATGTTTCCAGCATTACGGTACCATACATTAATTACTCTAGGAAATGAATGTTAGTAGACATGTGCAGCATTATAGCATTAAGTACTATGACAAATGTTTTTTTCATAGTATATGCAGTCATTACGAAGTGACAACAGCACCGAGTGGAATGTTCAAGATGTCATGGACTTGCTTCTCAAGTTCCGTCTGTCAGGAGGCACGACTTTATTACTCATGGAGTCCACCCAGCATGCAGTGTTGCGACTCTTACTTCAGCACAAACACTTCAAGGAGATCCTCGTCATTCTCTGCCAACCAGAACGTTATGGCGTGTTCTTAGACAATTTTACAGCCAGCCACATAATGGACCAGTTACTTGAAAAAGGAGATCATGTTGGTGAGTAATCATGTAATATATATCTTTTATACCAGAATCATGTTGAACCTCTCACCTGAACATGGAAGGAAATATTCTCACTTTAGGTTTTTGCTGGAAAATATAACTAGGAATGCACGAGACAATTAACATACGTATAACATTCTTCAATTTGAAGATTGTTCTCAATAAATTTTCTCCTGAAATGCTATTCTCAATTTTGAGAGCTATTTATTTTCATCATCGGACAAGTGTATTGAATGATAAAAAGAAAATATTTTGGGGAATAATTTACAGGAATTTGAATAGTAAGGCTTTGAGTTCGAGGAACTAGATTGTGCAAAGTATAACATTGTTATGTGAAGTGGCTCAGAAAACAGGTTAATTTGATTCAGCCACAATGGAAATTACTTTCAAATCCTGTTAAATCACTTCAAATGTTAAAGAGAAACAGTATCCAAGTGTCAGCTATGCATTCATGTCATTAATTTAATACTTGATTTCATTTAATTCTTTCTTGTATAGTTGTTGATTCCACTATTGCTTCTCAGAGTTACCGTTACAAATTAATTAGTTACGAATTAATCAGTTACTGTAATCAGTTACATCTCCTGAAGTTCTTTTTCTCCTAAATGACTGATTCTCCCAGGGAGTGGTATTGTGGCATCACGTATGATGTTGATGGAACAGTTCGACAATCACGTGACAAATCTTCTTGTTTTATTGAGCTGTGTTCTGTCAATTAAGCACCGCAATGAAGCTGATAATCCCGACTACAGTCATAAGCCTAGTGAGCCTGCTGAACGTGTAAGTTAAATCTACCTATATTAGCTACTAACCTAAATGCTTGAAATTAAATTTTACTGAAGCCTTTCTTTAAAGCAAGCACAGTATCGATCTACATTCTACACTATATAAGGTGTAGGGTCAGTTGTAATATAGATGAGTCTTCCGGTGCAATGATACCTACTGCCAAAAAATATGCGTCCAGGATGTGACTTGCTTTTCTTCTGTATGTAATTGAACTTGACCTGAGCAAAACTTTTCAAATAGTTTTTGTTTTATTTTACATTGAGAATTGTCTCTTGTTGTGCAGGTATTGCTGCGCATTGACTTTGATGATTCAAAATATGTGGACGACCACTTCCGTCTTGATCACAGTCGCCTGGTGGGTAAGACCCTGGCGTACTGCTCGAGTCACGTGCCCTCAGGCGAGCTGCGCCTCAACTGCCAAGTGCTGGGCCGTGCCTTCCTGCAGGACTGGGCAGGCCTGCAGCAGCACCTCAAGCTTCTCTCACAACACTCTCCATTGTCACCACTAGTCGTGAGAATTATCCTGTATAAATAACTCTCGTGAGAATTATCCTGTATAAATACCTCTCTAATTTGCCATGTTTAGAATTTGTTAGTTTAACCTACATATTATTTCCTTGTCTTATAATTTATCAACGCCAGATAATTTTTTCTAAATTTATTACGTTACAAGGTTAAAGCGATTTTATGTTGTTGAGAAAACAAAAGAAAAAGTAGGAAGTTAAGAAGGGAGATAGATTCCTTCTACTGTTCTTTATAAGAAGCATCCTGTGGCGTGCTTTTAAACTCTTTTTACTGCTTTTTACTACTTATTTTTTACTTTTTGTTATAATTCTGTGTAAAGGACTGCCATACATCATCGTTATCAATATCCTGATTTCTTTTGCTTTTTATAAACTTCTTACTACTCCTAACTACTTTGCAATCTAACTTGGCTGGTGTCTGTTAGTGCCGTGATAGCTAACCTCTCCTGACTACATGCTAACCTACTGGCAGTCAAGTTGTGTGTCTCTTGTGTTAAACTGAGTTATTCTTCCGCCGCTTCGTTACTGGAGTGCATTCGCGCCTCCTCCACTGGCTCCTCGTGTCTGATTCTGGTAGCATAAGGACAAAGTTCACGAGGCTGGCTAAAGTACCTATGAACTAATTGCTGCAAGAAAGTGACATAATTCTATTCTATGATCAGTAAGCAATTGTAGAATACTGGCCTCCACTAAACTTATGATGCATGCAGTGCGGCGACTGCGCTGGGCACAGGGTTAATCGTTTTATTTTGGTTCTTGTACCCATGCTAATTTGAAATATTCGAGACAATAAACATTAATAAACGTGAGATTAATCAGTACCCACCCATTGTAAGTTGAAATATTTGAGACAAAAGACACCAGTGAACGTGAGCATTAATCATTTTCTAACTTTGGTTAATTTTCTATTGTGCGTGTTTTCTACGTCTCTTCGTTGTTCTTACTTGACGTTCATGGTTTTTATTAAACTTCTTCATTAATATATTTAATTTTGGTAAATTTTTTAGAACATGGCGCCATATTTTGACGTGAGAGCTTGTGTACGCAGTCTAAAGATTTCTCGTGCATTAGAGGAGCAATAACGAATTTACTATAACTCATTGACTCGCGTGGAAGAATCATATAAATTGCTTGCATTCATACTGTCATGTGAGCTAAATAATATATACACGTACCATGCTCTAATATATGTCACATCTTTGCCAAGTTCATAATTAATGGATTTTGCTGCTTGTATTTTTTTTTTTTTTTTGGACGATGTGCCTTCTCACTTGGGCAAGTTATTTGTACTCAATGTTAATTTGATGTGATGTCGCAGAAGGAGCTGGTGGCTGAGCAGCTGCAGGCGTGCCCTGACGACGCCCTGAGAGAAGACCTGGCCAACGACCTGGCGGCGATCGCTGCTAAGCCTGACCTGGACCTCGTCCAACTCATTGAAGACAACCTCAATAAATCCATCCGGGAGTCACAAGATGATTTTGTTAATGATCAGGTTTTGTACCAAACTTACTATTGACGTGTTGATAATATTACGTATTTTCTATATTTATGATGCAATAGTACCTACGATTAAACCACGAGTTGCCTCGGACTACATACGGTAACACGTGATTTTGTTAGTTCTGTCCAATTGCACGGAACTGTCGATGTGTGGAGCATTCAAAAAGAGGCCCACACATATGAGCGCTGCTGAAAAGTTTGAGCGCGTCTCAGACGTATGAATGCGGCTTATATACTAATACACGCTGCACAGACATGTGAACGCACCACAGTTGTATGAACGATGCTCATATAAATAAACGCTGTTCAAATGTATGAACACTGCCCAGATATATGTGCTTCGCCATATGAAAATCGCCACGATATTTGTGTCACGCTGTATGAAAGCTGCTCTGACTTCATTTAAGAACTGCATTCCGTTCTGGTGTCTGCATCTTTTTGAAGTTTCTCTCGTTTGCCTCCTTACGCGGCCACGTTACTTGAGTTAGCATATCTCCTGGGTTCGAGTTTCCCTCGTGTCGCATCCTGGAAGCACCAAGAGCCTCAATATTCCTATTTCATTGTGTGATGCTCTAAATTTCTTTGATATTCTCGTTAACGCGGCTTTCAGGATTATGGTGCTTTCTATGTACCAACCGACAGCTGCACGTCGTCCCTCTTGTCAAATGCTCACTTTGATAACAAATAGGAGCCCAGGTGAACAAAGAACTGCTCTCTTACTCACATTATACGGGATAATGAGTCTTACTGTTGTGTTCTAGATGCGACTATATGAGCGGTGGAGTGCTGAGCGACAACAGCTTTTTGAGCGCCAGTGTGAAGCTTATGAGAGAAAGAACCTCATGAAGCAAATAAAGGAGAAGAAGAAGGAGCTCAAAAGTCGCGAAGAGTTGCTCTATTTCTTCGAGCGGGAAGATGAAATGGATGTCATCCAGGCGGGCAAAACTTTTGTGTGAGTTCTCCAACATCGTCAAGTTTGATATGAATTTCATTTAATTTTAATAAAGCTTCAATTTTGATGTTTGCTATTTAAAATTCAATCTATCAAGATAATTGAACATTTCATTTAAGTCGTACTTGTTATGTCGTGTATGACCGATATCAACGTCCACTTTTGCATGGAATATTAACGTATTGTATTGACGTTCGTGTTGTAGGCATCCCTTCCCTCGCGAGAGGCCGCCTCAGTATCGTCGCAAGAAGAAGGAAGAGGCGAGGGACGAGAAGTACATCCCACCCTCCATGGTCGGTGGGAAGATCATCAAACTCCCCACCGACTAATGCCATCGCCGCCCCACTCCCTGTACCTTCTCCATGTATCTTTCCTCTTGTTAAATGGCTCCAAAAATAAGATCTCGGTTATAATTATTGTTTTATTTGAATCTGCCTGAGTATGAATGTCGATTTAAATTTGAAATTTATGTAGGTTTGATTTTCTAATGAGAAAAACTTGGGAAACACCTACACTTATCCCAAAATAGTTGAAAAATGCGTTTTTTAGTGAAGCATCGTGACAACGGATTCGGATAAATGCAGTTCGATAACGATGCAATGTTATACATTAGCTCGCAGATTAAAATCAGGTGTACATTTTCAAATAATGCAAATATAAATGGATCGAATCTCGAAGGTTTTTCTTGCAAGAAGAAGAGTTATTAAGTTGCAAGATCGGACAGCCATTATTCTAGCATATCCTGAAATGAACGATAATGGCTGACACAGTTAGAAAATTGGCCCTTTTATTCCATCAATTATTTGACCAATGCGCACATTTCACTCTGCCCGCTGCGACATTGAAGCTGCTGATGAACAATTACGGTCGATCAAAAGTCAAATGCAGTATATATTGCCTCGTGCGTCAGCGCAAGCCAGTAGCTACATAAATAATATGATGTGGGACATGCAGATGAAAATATTCTTACTATATTGGATTCATACCAACGAATTTGTCTGGTCTCAATCATGGATTGCAAGTTAGTGGATAGATTCGATCATCGATGTCATGTTCCACCCGCGGGCTGTTTTCACTCGTCTGCATGTGCGAGATTAGGACCACGGAACTGGTACCTGCTTGAAGTCTGACGTTGTTAGCAAAGCTTATTTCTTACTCTAAAGTGTTAGAGTGAAACAACGATAATGATCAGTATTTAATTACTGAACCTTTATAAAAATGTCATGGTGCAACTTCCAAATCTCCAATGTGCACGCCTCATTTTTTATACGTCTTTGAAGCAGAGCTTCGTACATCTGTTAGAAAACTAACATCAATTCTATTCTTAGTTCGGTAATAGGCTACTGCAATTAGCTACCGAAAGTGGAACTAATAAGAATTCTATTTAAATTTGCTCGTGTAGTGAATATTGGCTTACTTTCTACTTAGATTTTGGCAGGGTACATACTGACGCCATCGTTGCGACAATTAAAACAATAACTTCGTACACTAACTAATAATAGCTCAAAGAACATGTGTTTAAGATGCGTGTGTATTAACGCGTTCACAGCTATAGAGATCTACCATTTTTCAGCTAATATTTACTATATCCATTCATAAGTTGAATAAATATGTCCAAGAAATCGATTTCAGTACATTGCTTATTTGTGTACAAGCTTTCTATACTTCACGTTGTCATAATGTGACGCTTCTGCGTGCGCAAGAACAACGTTTGTCCTAATGAAATAACGTGAGCATCTAGTCGGCAGATCCCTGCTTCCTTCGAGCATACCATCAGTCCCTATATACCGCACCGTTGCCCGCTGATCATTTGACATTCAGTGAAAATGGATTAGGCAAACGTTGCAATAATTTCTTTTTAACAAGTCAGATTTAGTTTTGTCAATATTATACGATAGCGGAGCAATATAATCTGTGTTATATGTCGTCTGCTAAATTGTCATGTCATGTCGTCTGCTAAAGTTTATGAGATGGTCACATGTGCGGAAATAGATGATCACAATCATTTTTCTATTTAACACAGGTATTCCATGGCATAGGTACTCACAAACTAACTTTGGCAAGCATATCAAAAGGCATGAGCAACAAATATTAATAACAGTAAACTCGTTTGAAACAAAAAAAAATCAAATTTTGTTCTTTCCGGATCCATCTTCAAACGAAAGGTTAATTACTCCGTCTTTGGGCAAGCAGTGCGGGTTGGCAGCTGCCGCCGCCGAGTCAGCAGACTCAGACTGCTGCCCCTGCTTCGGCCAGCAGGAATCTTTGACTGAGGACCATTGACACTCACACATTTTAGGGGCAGTGAGATGATGAAAAGGTACAAGTTTATTTTCAATAACTTTCTGGACGTTTGTCAGCATCTTAGGGAGCTCAGAGCGCTGCGTCTGTAAGATTTGGCTCTTCATCCTTTGGTGGGTGGTGGCGATGTGGAAGTTCTCCCCGGCCAAGATCCCCACTACCATACGACTGTGCCCGTCCATCTGGGGAAGCTGGGGCACTGAATTATCTTCGGGGTTTTGAGGAAGGCCTCGGAAGCTCTTTAGAGTTACAGGTTCCTTCGCATTTTCCACGTTTAGGTCTTCCATGCTATAACTTTTAGTCTTCGTGAAGTAGATGATGAATCTGATAAAATTGTAGGAATAATCAATCACGTTGCATTAATATTAAAAATACGATATTGATGTTGCTTTGCCGTTTTTTATCAGTTATGTGAGTAATGCGATCAATAATTAACGTCATTTTTTATGAATTTATTAGAGGCTAATAACGGTATGAAAGAATTGTGGCAAAATACAATGGCCATATTTTATTCCTTTTACAAACTATGCTACCGTTTTTTTTTTTTTTTTTTGCTACTTTATTTGCCGAGTTTTTATGATTTGTATATATATCAATAAGAATTAATAGTACCAAACTGGACTATTAATTCAACAACACAACAACAAATCAATCAAAAACAAAATCAATCAACAAATCAATTCTAAATATATTAATTAATGTATTGGTAGTAGCATATTAATCCTATTATTAGTGCTAATAATTATTAGTATCAATTTTAAGAATCATCGGCCAACAAGGAGAGATCACAAGTCACTAATTCTAATCCATCTTAATGAGAACAGAATGTTTTGCCGAGACAATTTCGGTCAACTTAGAAAAAATTCACCATCAAATCTCTAGCAGAACTCACACGAAGATCAACGTGCACAACAAGTTAGCTCCTGATCCGAAGAGGAACTGAGCGCCGGGGAAGACGTGAACTGAGGACTTGTAGACGAGCGTGTAGAGGGAGAAGCTCGCCATGGGCATGACTCCATCCAGCGCCCCCATCACCGCTGACACCTTGCCTGTGACCGGATCGGGGAAACTTGCTCTTCAGTCTTGTTTTACCTACTTCGTTATTATCAAGCCAATAGTAATGGATATCAACTACAAAAAAACCATATTAGCACAAACTATTTTGGAATAAATGTTATTATCTCAAAGGTGATTGCACATTTCAATGGAAAGTTGGACGAAATCCCGAAGTAATTCTGCTGGCCGAAAAATAGGAACGTCTAAGACAAATTCAAAAAAAATATTTGATGCGCGAAATTGGAACGAAGTTGAACATTAATATTTAGTTTCTATTAATATTGCTTCAATTTTGTTTCCACGATATAGGCGAGATTTTCACATACCCAGCTCATCTCCCGGAACAAATTTGGAGAGCATGGAACGTATGGCGATGACGCAGGAGTTCACCAGCAAGCCGCCCACCGGAGCTGTGACAGAGGGCAGAATACTCTTATTTTCAATACAAGAATATTTAACTTCCAGATTACTTTTTTGATGAGTTCATAATTATATAATTTTTAGTAATATATGCTGATACAAAATATTTTAATGAATGTTATCGTAAAAACTCCATAAGCACCATCGGATGATAAAATACACACAAGAATGAACATGAAATGTATGAAAATAGGAGAAAAATATGTGCAGGATTTGGCACTGGATCTGTTTTACCAGCTGAACTTTTGTTGGTTTTTCGATAGATGTTCTAGCGTTGGGGCGTCAGATTCTGATGCCCAAGTTTTGTGTTCAGTCTTTGAACTTGCCGCCGTGGAAGGGAAAAAGTGGTCGCTTTGGCTCGTTATTAGAGTGATAAAAGAGACACCAGTCAGCCAATGCGGACTCGTAATGGTATTCAATAATCAATTCGTATGTTTTGTTCAAATTTTAAATTAATTAGGTTGCAAGTTTAAGCAGAATGAAGAGTGGCTGTACTGAACGTACGAAAGTGTGCTTGGAAGAGAGAGAGTTGCGGTTTTGATAATTTAAGTCAAGTGACACGTAACTCGATAAAGTGAACCAGAAAAATTGCACGATTTTATCTAAATTTATTTCTGTTGAACACTTATTTGTGTCCATCTGAAATGTTTTTGGAGGACAATTCGATACATCTTCGTTTGCTCTGAGTGAAGCCACCATTCATCTCATGCTCGTAATCGAAGCCAATATTAGTGATGTTTTAAGGAAATTCCATTCCGAAGTTTTCATTTCTTTTTAATTTGTACAATTAATTGAATTAAATCTCAACTACTCAACCGTGCAAAGCTTGACGCTCCTCTCAAGCTTCCTCCATCGACAATTGTGCTCCATCGATTCACGGCCATTCACAGGAAGTTAATAAACTATCCTGAAGCCTCAGCGAGCAATGGCAGTCGTACAACTGTGAATGACACATGGGATCAACATTGCCTTCCCTCATAAGGGAAAAAATCTAACCTCACAGGTAATGCATAGAGGTTGTTCAATCACAAGTGTAAGTGATCAAGAAATCAGAAATGTAAGTGGATTACAATTATTCGTCGAGAACCTATCCTCGATTGCTGCTCACCGATCCAGATGAGGTATTGGGCGGTTGCCGTGACCAGGCCGTAGAGGAGGTAGTCTGTGGTGGCGGCGAGGGCTCCTATAAGAGCCAGTACGTTGTCGCTCAGGCCCACGCGGCTCGACAGCACCGGCACAGCCACCAGAGAGCCTGAGGTGAACACCACATGAGTTTCGGTTCTTCGGTTCTAAAATCTTTGAGTCTTCGGTTCTAAAGAATCTTCGGTTCTAAAATCTTAAAATCTTCTATTCTAAAATCTTAAAAATAATCATGAGTTTCGGTTCTAAAATCTTTCTCGTATGCCGGAAATTGACCTCACAAGCTGTGCTCACAAGCTTCAATTTTAGTGAGCACAGCTTAATGTCAACGAGTGCACGGTAACTATTTAGCTCCCCAACTTGAGAGTATTTTATTGTATAACTAATACTGGCACAAATTAGCATTGGATTAGCCTTATTATTCTCAACCAAGGAATCTCTAGCGATGTTCATAGAGAGTGACTTAAAATGATCGTTGCTTTGTTTTCATGACAATTTTTTAACTACAGAATTCACTCCTCTTTTCACGCAATCATTTATGGCTCATTGCAATGCACATGCATCCACACTTCCAGGCAGGTTCATCTATGTTAATTTATGCAGCTGGTGATCTGTTTGCAGAAATGTATCATTCAACAAATTAAGAATGACAGTCAAGTAATGAAATTGCTTTTATGCGAAGCAAATAACGGTCGTGGAGTGGGTCTCACCTAAGGCAGAGACGAGGTTCTTGTACGACACCCAAATTCCGTACTCCTCTGGACCCCAGTCCAGCACGCGGCGGGTGAAGAGGTACATGTACGCTCCTGCAGGCAAAGGAAACGGTCTGCTCAAGAATTAAGGCCAGTATTTTGGAGTGGGATTATTTGCTAGAAGTTTGGTGAACCTCGGTGAGCTACTTGATCAACACTTTTAGTATTTGGACAACTCTACTGACGATATTTTTTGCACTAATGGACTAACGAATGAAAAATGAAACTGATAAATGGGAGTCTGCATTCGCTGCAGTCGCTTGACTTGTTCATCCGAGATAAAAGTATTTCCCCGCAATGATATACGAGTAGCTCTATATGAGCTGTGCAAAGATCTACGATGCCCAATGACGATCTGCGTGGAGTGACGTCCATAGATTGCAGAAAGAGAAATGGATTGCAGAAGAAGCGATGGACCATCTCAACGAAATTAAACTAAAAAATAATCCAGCTTTTATACCTGCTCAACTATACGATCGACAAAAATCGTAATGAGTCATCCAATATTATTTCTACGCTGCTGCGTCCATTCACATTTTTTATCGATGTCACACTGCAGAACCAAGAAAACGCCTGAGTTGTAACCGTATTCACGTCACGTTGTAGCACTGCATTTTTTGCGTAAGAAACAAAATTATAAATATCCACGTCAATTTCCATGAATATTCATGAAATTATTAGGCAAAATTCTCAGCATAATTAATCAGAAATAAGAAACAGTCGTATCTATCTTTGAACTTGAAAATATATCAAAAGTACATATATCCTTAGCAAATGTTCAAGATTCGAGTGATATCAGGAGCTTGTATATTTCAATAATAATTATTATTATTCATGAGAGGAACTCGTAAGCGCTCGTGTTATTATAACGCAGGTTTATCTCTTCGTTGAGCGAAAGCGTGTCTCCCGCTCTGTAAGCGTCCCCTTAATGCTGCTCGAGCGAGCAGGTGGGCGACCTTCACTTCGAGCTTTCATGGAAAATTCCCTTCATTTAATCAAGATCTCGTGATCCACGTTTTTTACCAGGTTTGACATTTCGCTGTGCAGGTGCCGGGCTTTCTTCAAATTCCGCAGGTCCCTTTGTAAATCCAGAGGTGAATTCTTGATTACTATTACGATCTACATCTAATGAACCAGCGTCGTTTGTCTTTGTGCATTTTTAAATGTGGATTCGCAGTTCTGAGTTGAGATTGAATTGCCTAATTTGGAATTAATATAGAGAGCTATAGATATCAGTATTACTCGAAAGCCTGTGATAAATTAACAGTATAAACATCTTCGTCCGCTTTTACACCCGAAAAATTCTATCAAACGTAAATTAATAGTTTAGAAATATAAATTAAGAGATAGAACTAACCCTTTCATGCAAATCGGAACTTCTTTCATGACTCTCGCATCAATGGTTGCATTTAAATTAAAGAAAAATTCATGAAACTATTAAAGTATTTGCCACGCCCGAAATCTTTTATACAAAAAATCGGTATGAATAGTTTCTAAATTCGTAATTTGTAGCAATACTTCTTGATTTATGATTGAATGCATTACGATTATTCACACTAAGAATTTTTCATTGTCTATTTCATCAAATACGTATAATAGAAAAAACAAATAGCGGAAAAAAATTGCATTCTAGGATTACGATCTTTAAAAAAACTAAACAGAATGACGAATCAGACTTAAAAGTTAGCAAAATTCTACACCAAATAACTAACGTTTCTCTTAATTGCTCACTCCAACGACTACAAACGGTAAAATGAACGGATTCAATCAACAGACAATAATGAAAACTAGGGTTCACTTTAGCGTTCTAATTCCAAGAAATTTGGGAGTATTTAACTGAAACAAATTTCTTTATTTCGAAATTAGCATTAATGCAATAAAGAAATTATTGACGAGAACACAGATTCGACTTTTCATCTGCTTTTCAACGCAGCATAATTTTAATTGCGAAGTTCACTAAAGTTTCTACAGGCGCGACGCGGTTGAGTCAGCAGGGTTCAAATAACTGCTTAATGCCACGCCGGTGAAATCGCCCGCTCCAATGCACTTCCCAGATTCCCCATTCCTCAAAATTTACGTGGCTTTTAATGGAATAATTGAATTGATAAATACTAAATCCAAATGAAAATAGCCAAACCCATGTCAGCGAAACTGGTGATCTAACATTGAAGATTAACGAGCCAGAACTTAGTTTGGCCTTCAACTCGTCTTAGGGCTGCATTTATCTGGCTGAAAAAACTGGAGTATCAGCATGGAAGTAGCTGGCCTGCTGGTCCACGCCTAGCGACGAGGCAGTGCACTAACCTGATGGCTGAATGCAACTTTTCCTAAGTTACACTGCCTTATTCTGCATTATGAAGAGACATACAAAGCGCTTGTTCAGCCTTTAAAGCATTGAGATCAACGAAAGTCTCGCCGCTTATTTGAGGTGGTTAGGTAAAAGTTTACTACTGACCGTCAAATATCTGCCATGTTATTAACTCCGCTAAAGTAGTTGACAAAAATTCGATCCACATTTTTTTTAAATGCTTGAACGAAGAATGCGTCGAATCGTGGCGAACAACAGCCTCAACCGTGGAATTATCTAGGTTTTACTAAAGTATTTGGCAGGTGGCAGGCAGACAGAGCCCGAAGGCCAAACTTCTACTTTTATTCAAGAATATTAAAGGCTTGCGAACCAAATGAGACGAAACTGGAAGCTTGCGGTTGCGCAGGAATTGCACCGGTTTTAGTCGGCCCCACCCATTGATGTAGTTAGACTGCATGTATGGACGTCGTGGCTCGTGCAGATCAAATTGCTAGGTTTGCTTATGGAGGTTGCTTAATTTATTGGTAGTTTTTCAATAATTATTTGGTACTATTTGCAATTTTTATGTGTCCACATATTCTTCATATCCTATATTTTAGTGCGATTTAATTTATTTATAACCATCGCGGATAATCAGTGCACGACGTGGATGAAAAGTACAATAATTGAGCAACTCGCCCTTAGCATACACTAATTAGTTTAATTCATTTCTTGCCTTAGAATTTCAATTTACCACTTAAATCATTTTAGTAACGAACAATTATCTTTAAATCATATCGAAAAACATTTACTACACTGAAGACACTGAAGAAGGAGTTTCAACCTAATGTTTCACATCGTCGACTGTATACTTTTCACAGTCACGGCAGCTGTTAAGTCATCCTCGGCCGTTCCGTGATGAACAAATGCTCCGAGGACCTCGACGCGCGACAAGTGATTACCTTGCTCATGCATTTGAGGAAGAAGTGTCCATTGAGGCGCAAATGAGCTTTTAAATTGTTGCGGCGGATCAAGTAATAAGCGAGTAAATACTTAGAATTTCTTTGCATACATTCTTAGCATTGAGTATTAATTGATACTAACGAAAATGTTTTGAGATTCAGAAATTACAGAAAAATTTATAAAATTAGATATTGATATGATTCGACCGAAGTCAGCAATAAAATTATTGCATTTAATTTCAACTCTTGCATGTTTTCCGGCCAATTTTTTATATATGTGTTTAGCTTAGATTTTTTCATTGGCAATGCTATTAGAGCTGTCTATGCTTGGATGAAATTCCCTGTACAATTTCAGTGAAAAATTTCTCGGCCGGACCTCCAGGACTAGTTTAAGGACCTCATGATAAAGAGCAAAGCATGTCTAACGACTTTGTCTTAAGATTAGACAGTCAACATATGAGCTGAGTTAGAGCTATACAATAGATCTATTTATCAACTTATTCACCATAAATTTTGCTAATGTTCTCCATTAAGTGTTTCTTGACACGAGATCGTGGAAAATAACTAAGAGGAGTCTTACCTCTGCCCAGACGCCGGAGGAGGTTGCAGGTGATGAGCAGCAAGACGAAAGTCCTGGCGTTGCCCTCACGCTTCCTGAAGGTGCTCTGGAAGGAGTCTGTTATCCTGTGGTAGTCTATGAGGTCAGTGAACATCTTTTTCGCTGTTATCTTCTCTCCATCGTCTGCTTGGTGTCCACAAGTTTTTTCTTTTAGCTCACATTCCACTTTTTTGTTGACCAACTGAGAACAATTTGTTTTCACATCATCGCGAACTTTTTTCCCGTCTTTTCCGTGTTCACTTTCTTTTGGCTGAACAGCGGTAGTTGACAACAAGTTTGGTTTCTCATCCTTAACGATTCTATTGCCATTTTGATCAAATTTGGAAAATGGACCTCTGCTCTCTGGAGTACTGATTATGTAGGCTAGACTGCCAAACTGCAGGCAGGCAGAGACCCCAAAAACTGTCAGATATCCGCCGTATTTGTACAGGTACGTTCCACAAAGAGTGCCGATAGGACCTCCCAAAAACCAAACACTGTTAGCAAAACCAACTCTACTTGTTCGCTCGCTCTCTTTCGTGACGTCACTGATATACGCATTGCAGGCTGTCAAGAAGGACACTGTTCCGCCTCCCATAGTGTCCAGTACGGCCGCGAGATATAACATTTCTACAGGCCACGACTCAATATAGGCGTTCAACAAATAACATAAGGCCCACATTGCGTGACCAGTACTAGCTGCTATTAATGGAGGTTTCCTTCCGTATTTGTCACTCCAGGCTCCAACAAATAAAACGAAAAATAATGGCAGAATTGCTGTTAAAACTCCATACCACATTCCAAAAACACTGAAAGCTTTTTGGTGTTCTAAGCTTGCTTCTGGATACGCTGATAAATTTTGGCACACTTCTTGGGTGTAATTTAGGTTAACTAGACAAATTTTATCCATCTGGATGTTTTCCACGGCCACTATCATAACTGAGTAGCAGAAGCCGTCTATAAACATGACAGGTTCGAGCGTCAAGCGCTCTGGGATGCTTTTGAGTTTGTTCCATAGGTGCGACGCCTTCTGCTGCAGCGGCGACACCAGCACCTGCACAGTCAAAACCTTCTTTGAAGTTCAACCTCTCACTGTCTCAAAAAATTCACTTGCCTTCATAAAGAAAATAGTAATGAATGAACAATCATTGAATTCATTATGGCATTTCAAAACGTGAATGCAGCACGCAGTCACGAGCACGCAAGGCAGTCCATGCCATAGAAGTTGAAAGTCTATCGTCATATACGTTAGAATTTTTTCTAAATGTCCATGCCGTTAACATTTTACACTGAGCCAAGACAGAAAGACGCAATGTGTTAACACCTAATTTTGTAAATTCATTCAATATTAAATACAACTACATTTTTCCGTTCTATTATCCCTTGCTCCAAGGTAAATCAAAGAGTATATATCATGAAATTATGAATTGTGAAGGAAGGTAATAATACAGTTATTATAAGTTTGCAAGTTCTTTCACTATTAAATGACCGAAGCAGCGAAAAACCTCGACGAGGTTATTACAAAATTGTTAGATCAGATTTATCTTTGCTCTCAAAATCTCTTTCTAATCCGTCCAACATCAAAAGACGTCCAACCAATCCCGAGTATTTTTTATATGCTATTAGAAGATAATTGTTTTGAATGCCTGCAAAATTGAGTTATATGTTCGAGCGTTCACGCTCTGATATAATAATCATCCACTCACTTAATACATAAGACCAGAAAGCCTCAAAAAAATTTTTATCTATCAGGGGCCATACTTTCAAAACTCGCTAAGTGAACGTAAGTACTTACGATCTATTTTCTTGTCTATGATTGGTGGATTTTGCTTGTAAGGCCGTCAATGATTGGCTGATGAACTTACGATCTCTTAACTTTTTTTGAAAGTATGGGCCCAGTTCATTTACTACAATATTTCAAAGCTAAAACTAAATTAGCGAACAGCATCGATTCGAGGGAGTGTTTTTATTACTTTTTGTAGGATAAATCCAATCCAGGAAAGTTTTTAAGAAATTTCCTGTAATTGCACTACTTTGAGAAGTCAAAACTAGTTCTTCTATACGGCTCGGTTAATTAAAGACCCGACTAGTACAAATGTTAGTACAAATGTGATTATATGTACAAATGTGCAAATATGTCACATATCATGATATATGTCGTGAGTAACAGAGTAAAAAAGATGTCCTAATAAGTTAACGTGTCAGTCCCATTTGTAATCTGCATGGCGGATTACATTTAGAGCAAAAGAATGTTACCGCATTAGTATGACGAATTTATAGTTTCGTCTAATTTTTTATAAACTTAGAAGAAATTCTTGTTAAAATTTGAAAATTGTTTTTCCTAGTTTCAAAAATGGATGTATGTAAAACACCTTCAAATAAATCTTCTGATGGAATATTATATTTTTTATTATTATAATCTAGCCAGTTAATTATTCGCGAGTTGTAAAGATCGCTTAATTCTTTCACAGCTCTCTAAAGAATGCGTCGAAATAATGCCCAAACACATACTAGGTATATATAAGCTTGTTAGTTAACAATTATTAAAAGAAATCTTGCATGAAATGTATTAAGAACCAAGTAAGTCCTGTTGGTCATGCTTCACCAATCTATGCGAACTCTTGAGGTTTTCTGTAAAAACCGGATTTGTGGCTCGGCATCCTGTACCGAGCTCAGATGTTATCTCTCGCTGCACTCAATTTAGACCAGGCCATTTTTTGTCGTTGCCAGTGGTCGAGTGGATCTTAGATGTTAAACTTTATTCAATAATATGCAGGCATTTTACACTCATATCAATACTTCCATCAATTGAACGAAATAAGAGATGGTGCATCGACATCGTCAGCGCATGAATCGTTGCACAATCGTTAAACGTAAATTATTTAGTTTAATGAAAAGAAAAAGAAAAATAGATGCTATCGTTGTTCGAGAATTTTTTAAGGTTGCAGATTTATTGATAAGTCCATTATTGTAGAAAGATATGCATTTTTGTTGGATATCACATGAATATTTTTGATCAAATTTTTATGAAAGTGTAAATTTTGTACCAAAATATCAACATAGACAGAATTATTTAGCTGCAATTTCAGAAGTTATTGAAACCCTCACATGTAATTCGCGCTTTGTAAGTCTGACTCAGCCGGCCATTGCTGGAGTCTGAGTGCGTTGTTGCAAAGCAATCATAGCAAGCTTGCGTCAAGACAACTTCTCGGGTTTTCCAGTCGCCTCCGGTAAATAAAATGTTGATATAAAATGTTTACTTAGTACGAGTATGTTGGAGTAGCCGGTCCTGCGACTGGTTTGAATGATAGGCCTCTGAAACGCATGATGTCTGGTTTAAATAGTAGGCCTTAAGCTTCTTGGATTAGCTGGTCCCTACGGACAGCTGTGTGGTAGAATTGATTGAAACCAAAATGATGAACCCAATTTAATAAATTCCTGTTTAACACGTTGACTCCGAGGTGGAACATAAGCGTACCACGAAACGAATTTCTCCAGGACGTAGTGGTACATAATTCAGGGTTTCCAGATGGCCTAAAAACGGCTAAGTCCGCGAACAAAAAAAAAAAAAAGACCGAAAAAGGCTTATAGCTCAATATATACTATGTAGCATATTTGTGGGTTCCGGTTTAAAAATTCCAGTTTATTTTTTTGCAGTTATTAAATTTAATTGGGAAGAGCCCCTATCCAAAATTTCAGCAGGCCAACACGATTGAAAAAAACTAAATCGCAGAATTTGTCCGGAAAAGATCGTCTGGCAACCATGTCTCATAACAGTAAAAAAATAAAATATCGTACAAAATGAATCAATCGGAGTCAAGGTGTTATATATAAATTCAAAATGAATAACTTACACACAAATGGACTGAGAAATATATAATTTTTTTTGCATACTTATAAATGTTCAATGTTGACTTTATATTTATTGTGTGTAGAGGCTGGTATCTACGCACAAATTTGTCTACACAATAATATCTGAAGTGCATTCCATCAGATAATATAACAGATCTTCAGAGCAACCAGAGTTGCTGGTGGAGGTGGGACGTAAACAGCTTCCTTGACGTAACCCCATAAGAAATATCAATTTGGTTGATGTGAAGAACCGTATCACTGCTACGGTGCACTCAGTAACAGAAGATATATTTTCTCGTGTGTGGGACGAGTTTGGCTGCCGTTTAGACGTTTGCCGTACAGCACAAGGGGGCATATTGAACATTTATATTTCAATATATATGTATATATAAAATTGAATCTTTCTCTTTCCATTGTTGTAAAAATTATTCATTTCGAAGTAATACTTAAATAAATATTAATTTTTTGAATTTTTTCTACCATATTGTTTGTCCCTGTGTAACCATCTATTGAATTTTAAGCGAAAATAAATTATGTTTATGCTCTGAACTATTTTGGTTAAAGTCTACACTGTATTCGTCCGTTTTTACGAATATATCGCATTGAACACCTCTATCCATGTAACATCTGTGTTGTATGAGATTCGGCAAGCTACATTGCTATAAAAAGCACATATATCTCCACACCATTGCAGACATCTTCGACTAAAATGTACTCGACTGACAGTGCAAGTAATCAACATTCATTAAAGCAACAAAATTAGTTTTCAACAAGGCACTTGCTAAGAATTTATTTCTGGCCGAATGAATGGAAATTCGAACGATGTATTACATCACAGATTCAATTTTAGGAATTTTGGAGATAAAATAAAATTGATTGTATAAATTGAATTTAGGATTTCAATCTCATTTATTCCAGTTATAGTGTTATCTTATCTCCGTTTACCGAACATTCTAGGGCACTTTTCATCCATTTACACTGCACTCATAGCTATCAAATACCAGTAAAAATGTGAGAAATAATATCTCTTATGTTTATTTTTCACAATTTTATCGTTTATTTGCAGTGTTTGAGAGCACACACTCACTCGCAGGACTACAGTAAGCGACTAAGATCTCCAAATGGAGCGCCTCCGTGTGGAGAACAGCTCGTCATGAGCCGTGGTCGTGCTCGTCATGAGCCGTGGTCGTGCTCACCACGCGCCTTCCAGTCAAGAGGCGACGTCGAGGTCGTGGCTTCCTCGTGCTCGCTTGCCATGCGCGCTCTGCCATTGATTCACTTGCCTCTACCACTTTTTGTTCGAACTTTAGTGCAAAAAAATCTTTTTCTTTTGCAACAGAAATGCGCTCCCAAATATTGTAGTATCGCAAAAATTTTTCACTTGATTTGTTTTATTCTGCAATTGCGCATGGGAGAAGAAATTGCACTTCACGAATATATACTGAAAATTCACGAATATATACTGAAAATTTACGTTAGTTTTAATTAATTAGCAATATATTGAAAGAATTCAACCTTTTCAGTGCTCGCATTGCTAAAATGGGACTAGATAGTTTTGACAGCGCTCTAACTGATGCCTAGAGCTGCCGGTTGTGGCTGCGTCTGAAGCATCTCGATTGATGCATTCAGCGACGTTGTATGACGCAATACCGGCTCTGATGTCTGTTCTTCAAATTTAATTTGCTCCTTTAATTAGGTTAGACAACTAAAGGATGACAAAAAATCTGATATAACGTTGCAGCTCTCACGAAGAGCATGAAACAGTTTCATTACTTGAACGTTTCATTCTGAATGCGCCCCATACATTCGTGGCCTGTAAAGTATCTGTACTGAAAGTAGTTTCAGCAAGTAAATTTGTTCTTTCATATTTCAAATTTAGGCTGATAAACTTTTGAAATTTGTATCTAAGCTGATTGTTTACATGAGTGTTGCTTAAAATTTGAGGTGCACAACATAATCTAATTAAATCAACATCTGTTTAGTAAGATTTTGCCTGGTAATATCTTGAATGAAAAATTACTGTGCCGATTGCTGTTGTACAGTATCTTCAGATTTGAAGATGATCAGTTAGTAGGAGTACAGAAGTTATTAGGTGGCTAGTGCAAGGGCAAGGGATAACGAATACTCCTGTCTCCTAGATTTTAATTGGAGAATTAGAACGAAAAAGAGATTTAGAACTGAAAAGCGATATTGGATAAGATATTTGTTTCTTATTTAGAATGTAAGCGAGATTATCTTTAAACAGGGAATTGTTTGGTTCATTGGTGACGTCAGATATTAAAGAATAAATTAAAAGATATATTTGAATTGAGTACAATGGTCGAATTATTATATTTACGATTTGGTAACCTAAAAAAACTATCAAGATGAAATTGGGAAAATATTTTAGGAAGTCAATATCAAATCAGAAATCCTGACATTAAAACTGTCATCGGAAGTTATCGAAATTAAGCGGACATTGAGAAAACAGTAGTTAGAATCGGTAACATGTGTATCGTTTATGGTAACTGAGCAACACTGTTCCGTCTTGAATTAAAGTCATGCAGTTAATGCAGTGCACGTATTTAGCTACTTTCTGTTCATGCACCGGTAATGATCTAATTCGGATCTGCTCGCTTTCAACTCACGTCTATTCAGTTAGCATATTCCATCTCCGTCTTTTTATAGCATTTCATTTCCGAATTTTGGCAAAGTTTTGTGTCTTGAAATTATAAGCAAATCAGTACGTATTTCCTGCAACTTGTTTTTAACAATCGAAAGTATTTCGTTTCGGTACATAGTTTTCCAGGATATATAGCGAATGTTAAGTATTGGGGACTGACTTTATTCCAACGAAGCGATCCCGAAGACAATATTAATGTACAAATCAAATCAATATCGTCGTTTAATTTAAGCTAAACTCTTGATCTCATTCATTATTTCTTAAATTTGTTGACAAGAAGTTAATGCCTCGAGCGTCACTTAATAAATCAGATTACACTATCGTCTTTATATATATTCTCAGCCCCAGTAATGCATCATTCATGTGTGCACTGCTCAAGGTAGCAGCGAGTCATACATTACGCTCGGCAGTGCGGAAGTTTCGTGGAACTGCGGTGAAGATGCGACACAGCCTGTGTCTACACAGCCTGCGTCTTCACAGCCTGCGTCTTCACAGCCTGCGTCTTCACAGCCTGCATCTACACAGCCTGCGTCTACACAGCCTGCGTCTTCACAGCCTGCGTCTACACAAACACAGCCTGCGTCTACACAGCCTGCGTCTACACAGCCTGCGCCTACACAGCCTGCGTCGGCACAGCATGCATCTACACAGCAGCAAATTTCAGCAGGTCGCCCCCAATCGAAAAACAAGAGATTGCGCGTTCTGACGAGATCACCGCCGGCTGACCAGCGACAAACGACGGCTTACTGACAGTCCTCGCCAGCTGACATCGACTGATCGATCAGTTCATTGATTGATAGTGGCTTGCAGACCGGACTTTTGCTTTAAAAATACATATTATAATTCAATTTCAATAGAAATATATAATTGTTGTCACAACTACAAGGGAATATTTACTAGCTATATGTGATGAATTAGCTCTGTTCTTACTGCTTCCTAGTAATTGTTTTCCCTTGTATGGCCACCATTTAAATTTGGTAATTACATAACTTTAATCTATCCTGCAGGCACACGCATCTCGTCCCATCTGTGTAGGGCACCGACAACGCCACAATATTTAACTACATTTGGAAAACTGTTCACTGCTGTGGAATGCTTAAGAAACATTATCGACTCAGCTCGAAAATCTAGTTAATTTCTTCGAAGACTATTTGCTCAAATTAAAAATACATTTGTTCCGTTTTACTGATCGTTTCAGTAAATTTTATCGTTTTTCATTAGATTAATGTAATCTCCTGTTTCCCGCTTTTAACATGATATAAATTAAGGTTAATATAATCATTAGTAGTTTTGTGGTAACTGTTTTGCCCAGGAAGTGAAAGTTCGATTCGAAGAACAATATTAATGAGAATAAACGAGAATAAGAATCCTTCACGGGAGGCAGGATTTTACAGCTGCGGAATATCTTAAAGTTAGGATACGAGACATTCCATATATATTGTTCTAGATTTTCAGTCCCTTCGTATTTGTTGTGACTCAGGTGATTTTAATGACTCACAGTTAGAGGTTTACCGCTTGAGCGTCAGTAATAATGAACTTCCCGTTGTGCGCATACCGTACGACGGCGTTTGCAGTCTAATAGAAGTTTTACATTTAATGATCGACGTTCAACTTTAAATAGAGATATTTTACTGAAGAAAAATTGAAATTTGTGTGTCCATATTTAAAGCCTCTCTTCATGAAGAACGAGCGATTTAAAATTCAAGCCCTTCGCTGGCTTGAAGAGAAAGTCAACTCGTCATTTGCAGAGCTTGCATTGACAATCAAGGACTAAATCAGTTCATGCATTAATTGATATTGCGGTAAACTATTTATGGCCGACCAATGGAATTCATATTTTTCTTTCTCGAAGCTTCAGTTTAGAAAATATCGTCACAGATGAAGAAAAACTGCGCTTAAGAATATGTAGCTTGCGGGTAGTCACGAAGCTTCGAATTACGAGCATTATAAAATTATGACAGAATGTTTAATGTTAGTGCTGGCTTCAAATCACCATACAGAAATATTAAAATTTAATATATATAATATAGTAACTTTAGGGCAATCTCAATTTTAAGTAAAATAATTGGATAATTGCAGCGATCGCTTTGTTCTTCTAAAACATTTGTGTAAAACCTCATATTTACTATTTAGACTACACTCTGCACTATTCCCTTGATTGAACAAGAAAAATTCAATTCGCTGTGTGGCTCCATGTTTCGATCTACTAGAAGCTCACATGCTGTCTTCACAGCTGTAAGAGCCTCTTAAGCATCTTACATGCAGCATTTACTGCTGTAACAGCTTCTTGAGCAACTCGCATGCAGTCTTTACAGCTGTAAGAGCCTCTTAAACAATTCATATGCAGGCAGTTTTTACTGCTGTAACAAGCTCTTAAGCAACTCGCATGCAGCCATTACAGCTGTGAATGACTCTTAAGCAACTCTATATTCCGGACACAAATCAAAGCAGTGCGGCCACGTGTATGATATTGATAGGGAAAGATCATTAAAGATGGCTGGCAGCAAGGCTTTTACGGCAAGGCCGTTACGCGCTTATAATTATATGGATCATTTTAGACATACAATGTAAAAAATAAGATATAGTTTTGAAGAAGAGTAGACGGAAGAGTTTAGGAAAGGTATCAACTTACTGTTTCATGAAATCGAACAAATAATTTTTAACTCAAGTTTGATGAAGTAAAGGAAATGCTATGTCTAAGAATCTTCAACGGTTTTTTCGATAGATATTGAGATAATTTGAACTAGTCTCCGACTATCACAAGGCAAGCGGTCTCACAACGCATGACGCTTTTCCAGGGATCGTGCTGAATGTGAATATTTACAAACGTGAAACAAAACAAGCTCGAGCCTCGCTGCAATATTGTGAATATGGCGCGAGTTTGTGCAATCACGCTATGCAGGGGAAAATATCCAGCGCAATCCTATCGTATTTTATCTTATTCTAGCAAGAGTTGCGCTGACAATAACTGAAACATCGAGTAAATCATGTTCACGTGTCAGTTGAGATTCAGCTGAAAATGCAAGATGTACTTACCGCTTCTGTTGTTTATCCCAAAATCCCATAATAGATTACACGACGAATGAAAGAGGTGCTTCTGATTGAGCTTTAGCTAACATTATTCAGAGCATTGTATGTGAAAATTCTAGCTTGGAAATAATAATAGCTGTATATGATAACAATAAAATTATTCATGCATGTAATGCTAGAAACAGACTCTCATCACTTCAATGTAGAAAATTTGACATATATATTTATCTTATACACGATAATCACGTTCCTAGCATCGTTTACCTTTTGGGACAACTTTGGTTTCATGACCGAACACTGAGGAACTACTGGATAGAGTTGTTCACGCGGCAGCAAGCACCGAGCCATAGAGCCCGACGGGGCGAGGCGCAGGCTTTATATAGGCGATGCAGCTCCTCTCTCACCCTGACACGGCAGTTAGCCCGACCTCCGCGAAATGCAGGTAAACCCCCGGCATAACTGCAGCTCATGTCCCAGTGTCATGCTGTATATACATACATATCAAACACACGTGTTGTGATACCTGTGTGACACACATGCGATGTATACGTGTTCTCGGGAATGATCTAGTGAAGAATACACTAGTCAGCTTGGTACAGTACGCGACCATGACGATACTCGGGGTGGAACGCACTGTCTACTACTTATTTTTGGTTCAAAGTCTGTACTATGGTGACCGAGAAGCTGGTCGCGAGAAGCTCGTGCGCTGCAGCCTGCACACGAGCTTCTTGCGGGCGACACAAGAGGAAATTTCCGCACCTGATACCTAATGGCTCACTCATAAATTTGTTTAATATAACCTTGTTAGTTCTAGATATGTGAGAAACTTGAAATATTGAAAATCGTCTGTTCAAGTTTTTGTATGATAGATGGCTGGTTTTGCTTTAAAAACCCTAGAAACAGTGATAGTGGAAAAAAATCAGAAGTAAAACGTAAGCAAATAAATGGAATAAGATGCTAAATATTCAAACTGTTACCTAATGACGGTTATTATAAAGAAAATATTAATGACAATTTCACATCGACCCATAAAAATTAATAATTCCAGTCTTTCTCATTCTGAGCATGCATAAAAAATTTATTATATGCAAGTAGTTATTGCATGCTGAAAGGACATGATAATAAAATTCTGAGAGATCAAAACCCAGAAACCTCAGAAGTCCGGACCCACAATCTCGTCTTGCCGCCATGCCGTCCGCTCGTCGTTGCTACCTGGGAGGCAGCGCTAGCGGTGCGCTGACGTTTGCTTCGTGGAAGCGTTGCATAACGTAGCAACGTCTCACGCTCAGATGCTCACAGACTCACGCTCAGACGCTCAACAAAGGCTAGAGCGCACTACGCACAACTTCTGCTCAAAATAGAAAATATTTCATGTAAACTATAGAGGTATGAATTACATTCAAAGACGGTAAAATGTAAACTGAGAAAAAATCGACTGTCAAGGTAACTTAGAGGAAAACTATAACTTTATATTTATTGCTAACAGGTCTATTAAGAATTGAGTTGATTTATATTGTTTGTTATGTTAAAAAAATATTCGATAGGTCCCTGGAAAGTATAAAATTTTCATCACAAATCTTCAAAAAGATAAATGTTCCCAAAACAATTTTCTACCTAACAAATGAGAATCCATGAATATTCGTTTAACAAAATACAATATTACCGCTATTAATACTATAAAAGAAGCGCCCCATTATAGCGGCCCAAAAATTTACTAAGTTATAGGTCGTTTAATTCTGTAGTTTTTGCATACAGAGCTAGCCATTTATAAGCTAATAATATCACAATCCAAAACTAACCAACCAAAAGCGTCAAATTTATATTAATTTATATATAATATATATTAATTTGCAATCTATATTATTGTAATTCGAAAAAAAATCAACAGAGACACAAGGTCAAATTTTGTTTCTGGTATCCTGTATACCGAAAAAGTTCGTCCGTAAACGTGTTGCGCGACGTCATCTTGAGTCAAAGCTCGGTTTGTTTGCTGAAGCTCAGAGGCATTCAGCGCAACCAAAACCTGCCTCGTGAGTACTGCACTCCGAGACTGAGCAGGGTTAAGGTGTCTGTTTACCTTCAAGATCTTTACATCAGAAGTTTGCTTTGCCGAGACTTTTCGATGTAAGTATTAATTGGATATGGTAACTAAGTTGAAATTAGGAAAACAACGACCTAAATAAAAACTACTGTGAAAAACATTGCTAAATGTTTAGTAAATAGGATTTTAAAAAATAAAAATAATTAACTTAATAATCTCAACTAAAATAATAATTGGTTGAGATGGAAATATATTCTCGGCGTCCTATTTGATTTTCGAGTTTTTCTCGGACTCTAACGCACAATACAAACAGAATAGCAAGAGCCATAAAGGTGATGACGCAGCAAAATCTATTCTAAATAATGTGTTGACTGTAATATCAAAACGCATCTGCATTCGCAGCTGCAATAAATGTATGAAATTCGGTTTTAGGATGTAAATATAATTATTGCCATTATAATTTATTTACTTATCTCAAACAAAAATATTGAAAATCGGTAATTGGCGGAAGTCCGAATTTCAGCCCTAGGAATACAATTCATTTTACTAAAAAGAATTACTAATGCTAATCTTAGGCTCCTCACATGTCATAGCTGTGCTAGCTAGGCTCATTCTACACATAAAAGCTTTAAAATTATATTTATTTGCTGTAACTTGCTTGAGTACAACTGGTATCTGAAAAATTACAATATCAACATCCCTGTTGAGTGCTTTATACGCGTATTTCAAGAGTGGAGATCTCAGTCGATCGTTTTCAGTAACGTTTCTTTTACATGAAAACATGGTTCGGAATTCACTCACAACGGTTGTGTTCTCTGTTAAATATGGGTTGAGAGCGGGTCTGTCTTGAATTAGCATAACTCATCTTAATTCCTATTAGACGGATTCGGTATGACTGTATTTCAACATAATAATGATTACCGAACCCTGACAACGGCGGGTTAACCAGCTAGTGTTTGAGATTAAGACAAATGATCGTATTTTTAGAATAATAGTTATCAATTTCAAGTTTTTATATTCCTGAGGACGTTTTTTATTTTAAATCTACGGGCTTTGCAAATCTTGCTGACGGAATTAAATAAATTCAACTTTATGAAGCGTAGGAAAGCTGACATATCCTTCGTTTTAATCAATAACAAGTAAAGTTGCTAACTATGAAATTAAAAAAAGACTTTCAGGTGCTAAGTGGTTCGTGACAATACCTAGAGCATCACGAGCAACACGATCGAGGTTTAGACAAAACCAATACACAACTTGAACACTGATGAGTGCAATTGAGAACCATTTCAGGCTCCCGGTTATTTCATTTGAAATAAATCTAGACCTGATTAAAAAAGAGCAAATATTTAGTGTTGGAATAGTATTGATGCTAACATTTTAATCCAAGAAAGATTTCGAACTGTACGACAGCAAAGCATAATGAATTTAATAACAGTAGCTGTACGAAGCCATTCTCTTTAATTAATTCGCGAATTGAAGAATATGTTTGCTGTCCCAACTTCCAGTCCAGCTTTTTATTTTATACTAGAAAACTTCTGTTGGAAATTTATTTCAAGATTTGAGTTATCCAGTGAGTAAGCCTAAGAGAACTTTAAATAGAGTCCATAAAACCAGATCATCCAGAACCGGTGGCTGCGACGCCCAACGCAAACTTGTTCCATGAAAGCTTCTTAACCAGAGACTATAAAGACTCTATATATGAATAGGACATCTGTGACTGCAATCTCTGTAGAGTAGAATTAATAAATTATTTTGAATGTTAACCAAACATAAATTGTTGTTAACTTCTTCATGGAAATTAAATTATAGCTAAGTTACAAGAATAATTAATACAATTCAATGCAATACAATACAATAATCTTTTGGTCTTTTTTTCGCTCACATGAAGGTAAATTTACCTGGTTTTCTTAAATTTGTATTATTTATTGCGACATTATACATAGATTGTTCGGGGAAGATTTTAAAGAAAGGTTTTTATTGATAAATTGAGTGATTTCAAGGTTTACTTGATGGTCAACATTTATGCGGATACTGCCTGATATCGTAATTTTGTTTATGTAGAAATACCCGACGTCTTATTTTTCGTACCTTATATAATCGATTACAGCAATGACGATGACGAGTTCGATATTCAAGGTATATTCAAATAGGATAGAAACTGTTTGTATACTTTGAAGTTTTCATTTTATTTCAGTATGAAACCAGACAAAACGCAATGAACACGCGATGTTAATAAAAGTTTACATTACTGATCTAATCTTGGCTAACTCGCGCGTAGCAAGATATCAACTCATGCGTAGCAAGATATCAACTCACGCGTAGCAAGATATCAACTCGCGCGTAGCAAGATATCAACTCATGCGTAGCAAGATATCAACTCATGCGTAGCACGATATCAGATGGAAAGTTCTCGACTCGCTGAAAAGAGTCTTCTCACCATATCTTTAGGGTACCGGGCTTCCAGAAATATTGTTCCCAACTAAAAATACCCCATGAGAATATATGAGAAGGCTTAAAGCTGGAGAGTGAAACGTCAACCTCGATGCGTCAACAAAACAAGAAATTTATCTCTGAGAAAAAATTCTCTCTTTCATTTCCCGTGTGACATTTACTGCGTAAGCTGGTATCCTCCGTTCTGTAGAGTTCAGGCATATTCTGTGACATGATCTTCCATGTTAGATAACTGGCAGTCCGTCAAAAGAAGAGTCGGCCATCAAAGATTTTTTTCACAGTCATCGCTCAAAATATCGCTAGCAGTGATAATAGAAGATGAGGGAAAAATTAAAAGGTTGCTCTAATGAAAAGGTCCATAGGAGGCGAGAAATTAATTTTCACTATTGCTGGAATAGAGCGAAGTGTTTCAGCGCCTTGGTCACTATAGTAATATTGATGCTATTTAAATCACGATAGTAGAGTTGATAGTAAAGCAAGTATTTTGCAGCTGATGCGAGTGTTGTGGATGGCATTGTGAAGCAGTGTTCGCATCCACCTGTGATTGTAAAGCTGTGCTCTCATCCATCTATGATTGTAAAGCTGTGCTCTCATCCATCTATGATTGTAAAGCTGTGCTCTCATCCATCTATGATTGTAAAGCTGTGCTCTCATCCATCGGTGATTGTGAAGCTGTGCCCTCATCCATCTATGATTGTAAAGCTGTGCTCTCATCCATCTGTGATTGTAAAACAGTGCTTGCATCCACCTATGGTTGTAAAGCTGTGCCCTCATCCATCGGTGATTGTGAAGCTGTGCCCTCATCCATCTGTGATTGTGAAGCTGTGCTTGCATCCACCTATGGTTGTAAAGCTGTGCCCTCATCCATCGGTGATTGTGAAGCTGTGCCCTCATCCATCTGTGATTGTGAAGCTGTGCTTGCATCCACCTATGGTTGTAAAGCTGTGCCCTCATCCATCGGTGATTGTGAAGCTGTGCCCTCATCCATCTGTGATTGTGAAGCTGTGCCCTCATCCATCTGCGATTGTAAAGCTGTACTCTCTCCATCTGTGATTGTAAAGCTGTGCCCACATCCATCTGCGATTGTAAAGCTGTGCTCTCATCCATCTGTGATTGTAAAGCTTTGCTCTCATCCATCTGTGATTGTAAAGCTTTGCTCTCATTCATCTGTGATTGTGAAACAGTGTCTGCATCCATCATTAATTGTAAAGCTGTGCTTTACAATTACAATCCTTGTAATTGTCGGTGGATTGTTACAGATATTGTCTGAGTAATATTGTTGGTGAGTGGTTACACGGGTTGTTTGAGGGATATTGTTGGTGAGTGGTTACACGGGTTGTTTGAAGGATATTGTTGGTGAGTGGTTACACGGGTTGTTTGAGGGATGTTGTTGGTGAGTGGTTACACGGGTTGTTTGAGGGATATTGTTGGTTGATGATTCAACCGCCGCTTCAAGACACTCGTGGGAGGTTGAGGTCTCTTGTCTATATGATGTTTTCGTCGGTCTCTGTGAAGTGTGAGAAGGGAAATGGTGGGCAAGCGGAAAAATGTTCTAAAGCACTGTGATAAGAATCAATTGTTTGTCGCTCAACACTTTTTCCATAATTATGAATAAAAACACTCACGTGACGTGGTTTACATTCATGTATGTTGCCTTTCATAAATATCCAGTAGAATTTGATTAATTCGAACAATTTATATTTAACTAAATAACTTAATTTTAATAAAGTAACTTTCAAACTACATTCCGGGAAATTCTAACTTTTTATTATAAATATTATCCTTCATTAAAATGCGTCTTCAAGCTGAAAAATATATATTGTGTGACTTGTATTTCTGGCTTTAGTTTTATCTGCATTCTGAGGCCGCGGACGGCACTTTGCTCTATACACATTAGTATAGGTCTGCTCTATACACATTAGTATAGGTCTGCTCTATACTCATTAGTATAGGTCTGCTCTATACTCATTAGTATAGGTCTGCTCTATACTCATTAGTATAGGTCTGCTCTATACTAATTAGTATATGTCTAACGGGAGACTCGGTGACGCCAGCTCCAGTTCCCTGATCTTATGTACATATATAACATAACATAACATAGTGATCTCGGCGCTGAAGTGTAGGCCTGATGTGGCCTGTCGTCGATTCTTTTCCTTTTCGTGCCTTGTTCACAGAAGATCTAAAATCGTGTCATTTGAGACTGAACTCCAAAAAACCGTCCTCAAGACAACTTATGGTGGAAAACAAAATGGCAATCCCATTCTAAATGCTGGAAGCAGTACACAGGCACAAACTAATTAATATAAAACAAGAAAAAGCATTTATATATTAATGGAGACGTCTTTTCCGCTTTCATGACTTTAGTTTGCATTCATCCTTCAATAAATATCTTGTGCGTATGCGTTATGCCTAATTATAATGAAATTTACTTAAATATATAGTTTTATTTCAAGAATGGTTCAGGAATTCTATGAATGTAGTGGATGAAAAATGAAAATGGTTTGGCCCAATTACAAAGATATCATTCGCACCGCTGTTATGATGAATAAATACTGTTTTCTATTTAATTTGAAACACTATTATCCAACGATTTGACAAGCTTGAATGAGTGCAGGAACTAGAGATCAATAAAAAATGTTTATTTTCAATATATGACAGGGAATTTTCTAGTGACAAGGACACGTGAAAGAACATCACACAAACTCACTGCAGTGAGTGACAGAGAGCGCATTTTCTCGTCGACGAAAACTTGAGGTCACGGACGGACGGACAGACGGACAGACAGACAGACGGACATGGCGAGCACAATAGTGCATTTTTTCCATAAATGAGAAAATGCGCTAAAAGTGAAATTAATCAAGTTATTATTGTAGAATGAACAATCCATAATTCAATTTCTTATCTTAGAATTCTTATCATCTATAACCAAGAGAACGAGAGCTACCGTCAGCGAACAATGAATTAAGTCCTCTTCCTGTTGACGTTCAAAGGTACAATTTCCTCTCTTCTGCAAACCCAATTAAATTAGTTCTTTATTTCGTTGTTGGCGCAGCCTTCCAAGATATGGTCACTGCGAGGCCAAGCTCTTTCGATGCGAGATTTATTATCAATGTTACATCTTCTTTTATCATGTGTTGCCATACAATTTGTGCAGTGATTAATGAATTAAAATTATATTATTTTGACCATTAATTCGCTTATTCCAACGATGATTCATCATAAGACATAATTAGGGTTTATGAAAAAGCGCGTCAACACTTCACGGAGTTAATATTAATGGAAAACGGCGTGGAGTTAATGTTAATGGCCGTCATGCAATTGATATTAGAACATAACGACATAGCCCAACATAAATTTTGATTTTCTTCAAGTTTAGGAGATAATTAGAGGTCATTGGCCAGCAAAAAATAACTGAGAAAAATATTTTGATCTCTCATTGACAAATTTAAGCTCAGGGAATTATAGTTATATAATAAGTATACCTCTGTGACTTCATGCCGGCTGATTACTATGAAATATCGGAATCAATTTTGTAGAGAACAATGAAAACGAATTGCGTTTAAAGCTATAATCAACATTAAAGTCTAATTTTCTGCCAGCATCAACTCACTTGGAAATAACACTTCTCCAACCATTTCAGACAGCATCAACAACAAATATTTGTTCCCGCTGGCCAGTAAAATTATTTTAGCTGCTTAGTAGGAAATAGAGCCCAGGTGATAACTAACACATGATATAAAACGTTCGATTAGACATCAAATAATAGCAGCTGTGCTCAATCATTGACAGTTTGGTACTCGAGGATTAATTTGGTTTGCAATTAAAGAAGGCTTATCACTTAAAGTTTAGCAGTTCCGCTTATACATACATATTATTTGCTTACTAGGGTAATTTTTGGCATAATATATAAACTGAACTTATACGTATGTAGGCATTCTCAAATTACTCAAGTAAATATGATCATAAATTACAGCAAAGTACGGAATTACCTCAAAATTAGAGACCTACTTTAATACTGGAGTATTGGAACGGTAATGTGAGCTCCTATTGTAATTTGGTCACCGAATATTCAAACATAATTTTAAAGTTTCTTCGGGAGAATCCCATTGCATCGCGCATCCGTGCAGTCGGGCGTGCAATTGAACGCTCGTTTGGATCCTCAAAAGACATTCGACGCTCGCTTCCCTTGAGACAAAATCGTGGACCACGACAACGCGTCGCTGCAACTCGTATATGCAGCTAGTTGGCTTTTTAAAAGCTTCAGTAAAAGACGCCAGCCTGACAAAGTTAAAGAAACCAATACCCGAGCCACGATTTCGGTTTCTTATGTCGGTTTTTTATTCGACACGTTACAAGTACCCACGCCTGCAACAATATATATTCCAGTAAGTTTAATCCTGGGCGTTGATGTCTGGCTGAAGAGGAAGTTTTTAATTCTAGCAGCAGTCACTAGTGCCAGTCGTCTTCCAGTTCTCTGGGAAACAAAGATGGACTTTGGGCAATTCCGTGCATCATTTTTCTCACGCCCTGAGAAATTAAGCTACAAATGAAGGAACCGTTGGCGATTAAAGAAGCTTCAAAGAAGTAGAAATAATATGCGTTTAAAAATTGCTTTTTAAAGACAACACTTCTGGACAATCCAGTATCTTGGATGTTACACATGTACAATGAATTTCTAATTTCATTTTCAAATATTGGAAAAAAATTATTCTTCTAATTTTTTAAGATATCAAAATTTTGTAAATTTTAAAAATTATTTATTCTGTCAATTGATTAACGCATTGTCTCTGACTTTATGCAATTGTGCAAAATTTCAGATCAATTGGACAGGTCAAATTGTGTCATATATGGATTATAAGATTTGTAGGAGACGAAATTATTTGTCTAATTTTTTTTTAATATTGAAAAAAATTTTAATTTATAAAATTATTTATTCTGTTAATTGATTCATGCATTGTCTCCAACTTTACGCAAGTGTGTCAAATTTCAAATCGATTGGACAGGTAGAAGTGTGTTAAATATCGATTTTAAGATTTGTAGCAGACAGACAGACAGACAAACAAGAAGTGAAGTTAAAGAGAAGTGTTGTAAAAATGCTGAATTTAACGAAATTGCATTTTCTATGTGATGAGCGAATTTGATGAAGATCGAAAATAAATAACAATCAAAAAGCGTCATCACCACATTTGAATAGCAAACTAAACATGTCCCTGCCACCACGACTAGTGAGTAACTATAAGGTCGCGCCAGCTTCGATCTTCGTCTCATACTTTCATCCGAGTCAAATTTCTAGTAAAATATTTTTTATGTGTTGAAATTCCATATTGTTTGCTTTCTGAAGTGAAGAATGAAAAATTTCCATGATAGCGTAAAATAAATCGCTAAAAATTACAAAACATGGCATTTTATTAGTATTCTTCATCAGGCGTTGTTGATCAGGCCTAGTCGTTAGTATTCCACATCAGGCGTGGTCGTTGAGGTCGCTGGTGGTTCGATGAATAAATCTTACAATTTTTATTATGTTGATTTGAAAATTTTTCAAAATTTCTACAGTTCGGAACATTAATTAACAATGCAACTACCATCAATTGAATCGTTTTAAATGGATCCTTTTTTCGCTTTTTAATATCAATACCAAGTAAAATGTAGCAAGTGGTTCAACATAAAAATATTGATTTACAATTTAAATTTTTAAATCGCCTGTTTACTGTTTTGAGTCATATATAAAACATAACATTCAACAAGTGACACCTGACATTTATTGAAAATGCTATAATATTTGGAATTTATCATGTTACTATTTATTCCAGGACATTTAAATGTCAATTATTTGGATTATTGTGTAAATTGAACTGTTTTAAAACAAAAAAAATCGACCTTGTTCATAAACGTGAAGAATTAAGAAATAGGTTCATGGCACCACAACATTCTGCGTGCAGCTGCGGCGTCTCTGGTGCCCAGCTGTTGCCGTGATTGTTTATATTCTTGACTACGTTAAATGAATACATAGTGGCTCACACCTTGTTTATCACACAGTGTTTAATATACAGTGA